CCCAGGCCTGAGGCAGGCTGGCTCCTGTCCCCTTCCTTCTTCCCCGAGTCTTTAGGACACCTGCTCATACGCAGGTCCTATAGGGAGCCACACGTGGAGCCGAGGACGGGGACACTCGGCTTTTTGCTGGTGGTGTCCTTGCTAAAGCTGAGAAGGAACGTGACCGGCCAGGCGAGAGGTGGGGCAGGCCGCCCTCGCAAAAAGAAGAGTGTCCTGTAGAACAAAAAGCCACGAGAGCGAGCCACGAGCCACAGTGGCCGTTGAAAGCTGCCGTGGGACGGAAGCAGGTCGCTAGTGGGTGGCCGGGAGCTCCAGGGAACCTGGAAGAGGCCGCGGCGGGCAGTCTGGGAGGGGGTGGAAGTGCATGGAGGGGGCAGCTGGCTGGCAGGGCCTCCCACGTGGCCACAGATGCAGCCCAAGGGAGGCGTGGCGTCCTGGTCACGGGCATGGAAGCGAGGGTCCTGGCTGTGGCTTCCCTGGAGCTACAACAAGGGGACAGGGAGGGGAATCAGCCCAGGACTGAAGAGTCACCTCGGGGTCCTGATTTCAGAAGCTGTCACCCGTCATGACCCTTGGGCTGCCTCCTAAAATCGAGATCCACATTCTGTGTACTTTTAGCAAAGCAAAGCTCATTAGCCAAGACACATATTAAAAGGGGGGGAAACTTACCTGAATCAGAAAATGAGACTTCCCCTCTCTTGTTTGGCCCAAAGTATAGGATTAGATTCTGTCCACTTTCAAGCTGGGTATTTTCATGATGAGCTCTTAGAAAATTCTTGAAACAGTCATATACAACTGACCGGTGGACGCTGTCCATTCTGCAGACAGAGGACCTCTGCAGCAGGAGGCTCACGGCGGCCTCACCTGCAGTGGTGTGATTTGCACAGCTGCTCTGTTGATGGGTGTGTGCTCTAAGGGGCTTTGTGGGGTTCTGCCCGGCTCAGACACCAGCATTAGTAGGCCCCACCAAGCCCCGCATTTATCCAGTGCTCTGTTTCTGATCGTGTTTCCTGATGCATTGATATTTCCAGGCTAATCTTGCACAACTACTGAGAGATTCTCAGGACCGAAACAAACATCTGGGAGAAGAAATCAAAGAACTTCAGCAAAGGCTTGGAGAGGTCCAGGGTGACAATAAGGTACCGTGACTATTTACAGGCAAAGAGCTCTACTGTGTGATTGCGCTCTAGAGGTTATGTATAGCATGTTGGAAAAATGTAATGCACCATGGCTGGAAATTTTGTGATAGATTTTGACATTTGCAAAGAAAATTCAGTTTAGCATTTCTAATCTTTATTGCATTGCTGTGTGTGTGTGTGTGTGTGTGTGTGTGTGTGTTTGTGGGCACACCTGCCAACACATGTGTTTCTGGGTTGCTCTAAAACATTGTTACAACTGGGTGCAGGGGTTTCATTATGCTCAGCTTGGTGGTGGAGAGCATTGCGGTTGAGGGCAAAATAAAACCCAAATGCTATACTTTCCCCTTCTGTACAAATAATGGATTTGTGGCTCAGATGATTTGGAATTATTCACATTCAGTTTTGAATTTTAAGTAGTCATCCTACTAATTATGTTCACATAACCAATTTATTTTATTGCTAAATTTGGCAATTTGTATGGAACATTGCTCAAAATCCACT